GCCATGCTGCCACGGCCTGAGGAGACGTCGGTGGCAGGTAAAGGCCCACTGGCCGAGCCCCGTGGTGCTGCATGCTCTGCTCTGCATGGCTGCTCCTGCATGACAGATGTGTGGGGTTTGTGGTTCCTTGCCCTGCTCTAAGGGCTGGTCAGTGCCAGCACCCTGCCTTGCCCTGTGGGGTGAGAGGCTCTGAGCTGCCAGCACTGGGAGCAGAGGGATGCCAGGCTGGGCAGAGGGCTGGCAGCTGTCCTTTGCCCCAGGAATAGCACAGGTGGAAAGGAAAGCAGCACCTTTAGGCAAGGCAAGGAACAGCTGGTGGAATCAGTGCTTGGGGGGTAACACCACAGCAACCCTGGGCTTCAAGGCTTGTCCTCCCCATGCTCTCCAGCATTAGGTTGAGAAACGGGCATTGCAGACCTGCTGGCCATGAGCCCCCAGCTCTGTGGCTCCAGTTACCTCCGTGCCATGCAGGAGGGCACTGGGCTTTGAGCCACTGGCCCCTGCCAGCCCTGTCCAGCTGCTGCAGGACTTGGCCGCTTCCCTGCACAGTCAGGATGGGGTCAAAGGAGGTGGACAGGCTGGGGGAGCTCACCCCAGCCCATGTCCCCACATCCACAGGAGCCCACACCTCCAGCCCGTCCCTGCAGTAGGGAGCACAGCAGCGCTTGTGTGGATTGGAGTGGTGGTCCCTGCATGCGCGTGGTTTCGTGAGCATCCCGTGTGGCACTGCTGGGGATGTCCTTGCTCCCTGCCATGCATCCCGTGTGGCACTGCTGGGGATGTCCTTGCTCCCTGCCAAGCATCCCGTGTGGCACTGCTGGGGATGTCCTTGCTCCCTGCTGAGCCTCCGGTTTCTGCGGCATGCGGCGCGGTGTCCGTGTAGACCCTGTTGTGGCTTTGGTGTCACCTGAGATATTGGACAGGGTGGCCACCAGGCCAGGACCGGGCTGGGAACCACCTCGACCCTCTCCCTTGCTTGTGTCCCTGCTGGGATGTGCACAGAGGTCCTCTGGGACAGGGCACGCCATCCAGAGCTCCCACCCCAGAGCACCCAGAGCCTGCAGGCAGCTGACAGCCTCTCTCTCCACGCAGGGCTGCCGGGCAGGGCAGTGCCCACCCGGTGCCGGGGAGCAGCGGAGCAGGAAGGAGCTCACGCCGGCACACGCGCGGGCGCGTGGGCTGTGTCCTCGCTCTGCAGGGAGAGATGATTGACCGCATCGAGTACAACGTGGAGCACTCGGTGGACTACGTGGAGAGGGCTGTGTCTGACACCAAAAAAGCGGTGAAGTACCAGAGCAAAGCCAGACGGGTGAGTCACGGCTCTGTCTGGGGCCCATCTGCCCCTGCCTGCACTGCTGACACCTCTGTCCCGGGGGCAGGGCTCTGCTGGCAGCCTGCCTGCCCCTCTGCCTGCCCCGGGCAGGGTGGCACAGCCTCGCAAGTGCCTGGGCACTGCATTACCCCACACCACTGTCTGCAGCCCATGGCCTGCGGGTGGCACGGCTGAGGCAGAGCTCCCAGGACAGGCTGCATGAAAGATGACAATGAGCCATGGGGCAGGCCTGCTGCCTGGGGAGAGGAAAAGGGACAGGGTGGATCCCCTGGACCAGGCCTCCTGTGAGAGCCATGCCCCTTGCCAAAAAAAAGTAGAGAAAAGGCGTGGTCCAGCTCAGACACTGAGCACAGTGCCAGCTGCCTGTCCCGCTCCCAGCACGGTCCTGTATCAGCACAGGAACCCAGGGGCCACCAGCTCAGTTTGGCCAGCCCAGGGCTGAAGCAGGAGCTGGGGTGCTCATCCCTGCCCAGGGCAGCCAGGACCCCTCTGGCTCCCATGATGCTGCTCAGAGCCCACCAGGGGCAAAGCAGAACAAGGGCAGACTGCAACCTCAGCTCCTGGGTGCATCCTGCCCCAACACTCACCACCCCCTCTCCCCTCTCTCCCTGCTGCCACCGGGACACCTGAGCAGAAGAAGATCATGATCATAATCTGCTGCGTGATCCTGGGCATCGTCATCGCCTCCACCTTCGGCGGCATTTTCGGCTAAACTCACCCCACGGGACTGTTTGTGTGCGATGGACGGAGCCGCGCGTGCCATGGGGCTGCAGCCACACCGGAGCGACCCACGCAGCCCCGGAGCCTCCCAGCAGCATTTCAGTTTCTAATGCATGGTTGTTTGTGACGCTGTGTGTGCGGTGCGGTGCGTCTGTGTGGAGGGAGCGCCGGCCCCGGGGCGCAGGCGGGGGGCGGGGGACGGTGATGGGCACGAGGGGGACCCTGGAGTGGGGAACCCGAGCTCTCATCACTGCTCCACCCCGGGGGCCGGCTGGGACCAGGTGGGGACAGAGGCGCCCTTGGGACGCTGCTGCTCCTCCTGTGCTGGGCAGTCTGTGTTAGAGACAGCTGAGGATGAGGAAGGACAGGAGGCAGGTGTTAAGGGGTCTTCGGGAGTGCAGTGCCCAGTCAACCTCCCCAGCTTCCTCATCACCTCCAGCCAGAGCTCTCATGTCTGTCTGTGCTTGCAAACACCTTCCCTTGGGCTGCTTCTCTCCGGGGTCCTTCCCCAGGGGTGTGCTCTGCCTGGCCCTACCTGTCCTGTGGCTGTGCCTGGCTCTGGGGCTCCGTTCCTGTCACTCCACCAGTGGCAGGGCTGTCCCCTCCCCAGGAGAGCCCTCGCTCTGGTGCAGGTGCCTGGGGCTGGATGTGCTGCTGTGGGCGGTGGGTGCCTGATGGAGCAGTGTGGGATAAGCAGCTGCTGCTTGGGGCCATCACAGTTGCCTGGGGACAGGGACAGGCCATGTAGGGACCTGTGCTGCACCTGGTTGCTGGCCTGGCAGGGCAGGATAGCACAGGTAGTTTATGGCCAAGTGAGTTTTGCTGTCCGCTCGCCCTGCACCGGAGCCTCATCGTTCTGCTCTCAGCCCTGGCACACAGTGGTCCTGGTTCCTGCTGCCCCAAGGCCTGGGTTCTGTTGCTGGGATTTGGGGCTGGCACTGATGCCCACAGCCCCTGGCAGCATCTGCCTGCTCCATTCTGGCTTCTCCACACAGGCCAGGGGTTGGAGGCAGTTGGGCTCTCTCCTGTTGTGGTCCCGGGAGAAGCCCTTGCTGCATCCACCCCCCTGCAAGCGAGGGGTAGCAGCCTTCCTCCTCCTATCCAACCAGCTCCTGAGCAGGCCAGTGCCTGACTGCCTCTTTGCCACCTCCTGGCACCCCCCTGCCCCTGGCACAGCGCCCTTCTGCTCAGCCATCCCATGAGGCACCTGCCCTCACTGGGGTGCTGTGGGAGCACCTCTGCCATGCCCAGGAGATGGATGCAGCTGCTGTGGGGTCCTGCTGGCAGCTCAGAGGGGTCCTGTGCTGCCACTGCCCATTTCCCTGGGGCCAGGGACAGGGCTCTGCCCTCACCTTCCTCCGGAGAGCCCAGGGCTCCAGCTGGCCCGTGCACATGCCAAAGCACCCCAGAGGAGCCCTGAGCAGGGGAGGCACTTGGGGCCAGGCTAACTGCCATGCACTGGAACAGGGTTGTGAGCCCAGGTGCTGGTAGCAGAAAAGGGGCACTTGACGGCAGCCAGTATTCCAGCCACAGGCAGTGTCACCTCCCTGCTCCCACCAGGGTCAGGGCAGGGCTGCTCCAGCAGCTGGCGGGGTGCTGTGGCTCAGGCACTGGTTGTGTGGTGCCCATGGGTGCGGGGGGAAGGCAGTGGCTGTAACCACACAGCACTGCATCCCCCAGGGCCAGCCCTGCCCAGCAGCAGCCCTGACACGGCTCCTTCCCTGCCACTGTCACCCGAGGTCCCACTGTACAGCCCCCGGTTGCATCCAGCCGCCCTTGGGAAGCGAGTCCAGCCTGGTCCCCCACACTGCCCAGCCCAAGCCCCTTGGGGTGCGGCCACGGGAACATCCAAGGCCAGAGCCCCCTTTCACGGTCCTGCACCAATGGATGTGAGCTCCAGCACTGCAGCCTGCGTGGGCCGAAGGGCTTGGGGCACCGGGGCCATGCAGGCAGGGGCAGGAGGGAGGCACGGGCAAGGTCCCTGCTCTGGGGGGACATGTCTGGCTGCAGGCA